CATAATGGGGTGTTTTCTTGGACACCATTAAAAAAATAAAAATAATAATATTCTGTGCTGTACCTTCTCTTGCAGCAGTCACCTCTTTGGTGAGACGAGCAATGACACGGCAGGCAGCATCATGCTGGTAGAGGGCATGAGAAAGTTCCTGGCGTGTAGTCTGAAGCTGCTGGCGCAAAGTGAAACTGTGTAGCATGACGGCATCCTGAAGGAAGTAATTTCACACATTAATATTGTATGGGACGATATCTGGAGACGCTGGCTTAGTCAGTAACTGCGAACACACAGCATACTAGCACATGCAGCCCATTAATTTCTGCCTTGGGCTTTCCACTCTTGTGAACAGGAAAAGCAAAGTGAAAATGGATAGCTTTCATGACATCTGAAATCAACCTATTGATTTTTTTTTTTATTAATCCCTTGTTCTATGAGGACAAAATCTGATTCTGGATGTTACACGAGTGGCAGAACTTACTTGCTCACAATAAAATATGAATTCTGGATTACTGTATGAAAATATATATATATACCCATTCATCTTGTAGGGCCTTCAGGATAGCTGGAATACTGGTAGCAGAAGGAGGCTTAGGCCGAATTGGGTGGGCAACTGTGAATGAAATATATACAAGCATTAATTCTAGAGAACCCCAATATTTACCCTCACAAGTCTTTAAACCGTGGCTAGGACAGTTTTGTCAACTTTAATTTTAATGAATTATTTTTTTCCTATTGTTGTGGGGTTTCTTTCAGTGTGATCCAGCTGGGGATAGAATTTAAGACTATGGATGGCACTGGAAAAGCAAAGATGGTATATTCATGCCTTGCTATTTTAAAACCAAAGGAGCTGAAAAAATCTACAGAAGGTACACAAATCTGACCACAGACATTGATATATAGTTGGAGACAGATGTTCAAGCAAATCAGATGGAAAGAGCATCATAGAAACAATGGACAAAGTACAAAGTGAGAAAATGTGAATGTAAACAGAGGTGGTATTTTTGATTAGGGAGAAGTGCCAGATATACATTTTAATCAAGAGTTGCTTTGGTTAGGGAGATGGGCAGCATATAATTTAATAAATAAATGAGATGTATACATACAGCACTTTTTTGAAATATTGTTGTAAATGGATCTGTTGAACAATCCTCTCTTTAAACCTGGCCCTGATATTTTGGAATCATTTCACATCTTACAATAAACTAACAAATATTTTCAAGACTTTCATACAAGGTTTTAAGAGATCAGTCAGATTAGGTAGTCTGCATTCAATAAAGTAATTCTCCTGATCTTCCTTACCTTTGATATCTAGCAGTTGTTCCTCAGACAGTGGCTGGTTATTTACTGGATCAGTCCCATTCTCTGCAATATACTTTTCAATCAGTCTTCGTTCATAAACATGATTTGAGACTGGAGACAGACAGGGATGCTCTGGTACCTCATTAGAAACTGCAAGAAAAAAGGTGGAGGTAGAGAAAAAAATCACTAAAATAAACATCTTCTGTAAACTAAGTTACTGCCTTTGGGTTTAAAAATATACAGAAATAACAGCAAGACCTCCCAATATATGGCACTTCACAAGATGGTTACAAACAATTAATAATCAGTTAGAATATCAAGTCCCAAAAGAAGATAAGCAAAACATTTAGTAATATCTAAAAAAACCTGTTGGAAATGTTATTTATGCAAATCAGATGCAAGGCATTTCTTAAGGTCTTAAGATGGAAATGCCATGTATCCCCACATCACAATCTGTAATTTATGCTATTATAAATGTAGTCAAACTGAGAATGTAATTGGTAAGAAAATTTAGAAACTTTCTATTTAACAAGATAGAGAAAAAAATAAAGAGATGAAATGTGAAAGTGACAAATGCAAATGTCTTCACTGAAAAGTAAATGAAAAATTGATAGCAGTATTCATGAAAAAGACCTGTTAATCATAAGCTAAATATGAGCAATAAAAAATCACATAGTTGCCAAAAACCTGAATGTAAATTTAATCTGTTTTGATGGTAGTTTCAAATTAGGTCGTTACATTCTGATTCAGGTAGCTCTAAAATATTGTGTCCATTTGTGAACCCCCAAAACAAAAGATTCAAAGTAATGGCACAGGTAGAGGACAAGGAAATCACAGGGCCAGAAATGCTTATGAGACACTGAAGGAATTAGCTTGAGACACTGAAGGAGTGCTTAGCTTTGAGGAAAAAAATAATAATTGAATGGAATAAGATAGAATTTTTCAAGTATCTGAAGTGGTTTAAATAATACAGGTCAAGAACTGATGCCCATCATTCCAAAACGCAGGAATAATGATCTTAAATTGCAGAAAGGTGGATTCTAGCTGAGCAGATGAATACAGGAACTAATTATTTAGAGAGGTACTAGCTCCCCTTCACTGGATCTATACTAGCAAGGACTGGATTGTAATTTGGAATTGATGATTAATTTGCATTCTCTGTGAGGGAGATGATGATTCAAAAATGTGAATATAACATTCCTGCACTGAGCAGATGGTTGGCCTTGATAGCTTCAATAGCCTCTTCCAGTTCTATATGGATTAAGTATTTGCACAGTTCATTATAACCGAACTCAGTTTCTGCGATCAATTAAAAAAAAATCTCCCTAAGATTTATAATTGAGACATGTAAGCCTCATCTTCATCTAGGACAGTGTTTCTCAACCTTGACAATTTTAAGGCATGTGGACTTCAACTCCCAGAATTCCACAGCCAGCATTGCTGGCTATGGAATTCTGGGAGTTGAAGTCCACATGCCTTAAAATTGTCAAGGTTGAGAAACACTGATCTAGGAACTGTTCAGAGACCAGGTATGAAACTGTGAAGGGTTTTTCTCCTCCTAACACTGAAACGGAATACTGAATCCGTTCTTTGGTGTCCTGCCTTCTGGAGGGGGGGGGG